TCCGATATTAAATTATTTTGTATAAGTAATATATATATCTATATGCATGTTTTTACGTATATTTATAATTAGGTATTAACAAATAATTAATGATTACTTACATATATGAATATAAAAGTTTTATCAAGTGTTTTAAAGGTATGTAAATGGAAACATACACAAAACACAAATTTAGTAAATCTGAAATAATTAACAGATCGATATTATGATGAATTTTTACTATATAATAATTAAACCTTTTCATGAATTTTAATGAAATTTCAGATATACACTTACATATGTACATACATATAACTGCTTAAATTTAGTTTAAATATTTTCTTAACCTATAGACCATATCGTCAGTATTTAAATTAAAAACAAAATGAAAATTTCTTATGGAATGTAAAATTATTTTGTACAATCAAATACTTTAATTTTAAAAGGCTAATTATTAAGAAAAATAAGATGATGTATGGAAATATGGTGATTTAAAAAAGAAAAGGGTTTTACAAAACTAAAATTTTCTCCATAAAAAAATTGAGATTGAGTTATTTATTTAATATAATGCTAGATTTCACTAGTAATGCTGTTCTTAATATATTATTCAAAAGGTAAGATTTTGAGCTATTCTGGATTAGGTTTAATGGTATAATGGATGAAGTTTAATGGGGTTACTAACTCCAACTTTTATTTAAAAAAATTCTTTTTCCTTATTGTACATAATGTCTAAATAAAATTAATTTTGTCTATTGTATCTAAATCACTTAGATTTATGACAAATTTTGTAATAAATTATTGTTTAATTTAAAATTCTAATAACATTGTTTGATTCATGTGCAAAAGTGAAAAGTAAGAAACTAAAAATTTTTTGTTTCAATTAGCAATAATATGTTACGGATATTTGAAATTATTCGATAATAATATTACATATATGTATTTTTACAGATACATATATAAGAATTTTGTAGTTAAGAGAATAAGATTTTTTTTTTGATATATGACGTAATAAACAATTCCTAATGACATTAGCTTTATAATTCTTTGTGCAAAAATAACGGAAGTCCCTTTATTTATTATATAAAATGTATTGAAACTTTTAGGTTCTGTAACAATAAAGGAAAAATATTTTTTATCAACAATTAAAATAATTTTTCATTCATATTCATATTAAATAAACAATGAAATAATTTGATATGATGTCTTTAAAGTTACTTTAACTTCGTTGGCAGTTTTTTTTGGAATTTTTGATATTATAGGTATTTCATTATCGTAAGTTTATAAATATTTATGTAAATGCACATATTAAGAAAATTTTATGGAACACAGGCAAATTGTGCACGAAAAGGTTTTTAACCTGCATATTGATATCCTTATTATTGTTAACCAAAGATAAATAAAAATTTCAATTGATAAATAAAAAACAATTATTGTAATCTAAACTAAATTATTTTGTAATATAATTTGATCGTCATTAACCTCCCATGTACACACATACTTACTTATTAAACATATGGATATTTGCAGAGGGGTGCTTTTATTCTAAGTAAAAATCAATTTTTGTTTTCTTTTCATATAAATTTAGTTTCAACATCATACATATTTCAATAATAAACTAAATAGGTACAATAAAACCTACACCCTTCCACCTACATTTCTGTGAAAACATATAATTTCAATACGTAAGTGTACAAATGAATTCTCTATTTGACTTAAAGCACAGTTTTACACATCAATAAACAAGGTATTGCACTGTGTTTTTTGTCAAAGAAAATTTTTTTTATGCGATTTTACAATGCCTAAATTGAAGTTTCCGTACTTTTTAATATTATTTCACTTAGTATGTAGTTATGTTTATATACAATAATTATATTTGCATACACATATATAAATGTATGAATCTAAAATTTTTGGTTTAAGAGTTTAGTGGGCCTTAAATTTTTGTTTATTTTACGAGAAATTAAAAAAAAAAGCAGAACAAAAATGATTGATAATATTCCTTGTTTTGGAATATTTTTTTTTGCGAAATTATGAATATCATAAAGTAATTATGTGATTCAAATAACGCAAGAAATAAATTAAAAACTGTTTATTACGAGTATACAAAGTTATAAATCAATAATATTATTATTCAATATGACGACTGTCTGATTATTATTGACAGTTTATTTTATATGCAGTTAGCAAAATTTTTCAATAGCTCGTATGGGATTTATGCAAAATTGAAACATTTAAAGAAGTATATTATGTATTGCAGTATTTATGAAATATGTCAATTATGCAAGTTTAAAAGAAATATTATATATAAAAAATCTGATGTGGTCAGCACATAACCGACCGCATTGTGTATTGTCTAGTTAAATGAAAGTATTACAGAATATTATAAAAATGTCTGTTAAATACTTCTTTCCAATTTTTAGGTAGTTAGTAAGCTTTTAGTTAACATACCCAGAAAAATGTAAATTTGGCTCTTAGTAGAGTTTCGCTTTGTGCTACCCGAATTCCCTGAAATGCTCGCCAGTTATTTTCGGGAACAACCAGAACTCAAATATCAAATTTCAAGAAATTTCATAAATTCGTTCCGTAGATATAGTGAAAAATATAAAATCGGCCCGCCAATCAGTTGTAGAGCCCTGATCATTCCAAAAAATTTATATGTTCATTGTTTTTGTACGAGGATTTCAAATATTAAATTTCAATAAAATCGGTTGATTATTTCTCTTTATATACACAAAAATGTATATTTGGCCCGTAGTAAACGTCCAGTTGCTGACGCCTGATTTTTTCCAAGGAGGTTTCGCGGACGGTCAACCTGAGCCTATATATAAAATTTAAAGTAAATCGGTTGAACATTTTCTTCAAAATGTTTAAAAATGTAAAATAAGCCCGCTTAAAAGTGCAGTTCCCGGGGCCTGATATATACCAAAAGTTGATCAATCCGTGCCATGGTGGAAATAAACTTACATATAAAATTTCATCAAAATCGGTTCAGCCGAACTTGAGATACACGCGTGCACACACAGACCGACAGGTTGCTAAAAATAGTTTATTTACACTCCCTACTATGGAGAAGTACGTTTCCACCGAAAACTCGATATGCAAAATTTGTTGCCATCACATAACCTACCTATTGTTTGCACAATACGGTCGGTAAAAAGATTATATATAAATTAATTTCAAACAGTTTTTTAGCTTACATATATATATACATATATGCACAAATTTATAATTATTACAAAAGAAATATTATCAAATTGTAATTATTAAGCCAATCTGGTGGCCTAATAGTTTGAAGTTTTAAGTACAATGTAATTAAAATTTATAAATTTCAATTTATTATATAAAAATAATAAACTTTAAGTATAATATAATTATGCACTATAATATTAATTACACTACGTAGTTTCAACGTATCAAAAACTACTGGTTTTAAGCGAACAACGATATTAAAAATCATTAACTCCGCATTTCTTTAATGTCTTTACTATTTTTATCAAAATATATTAATCAATTAAAGTTTTTCTACTAAAATTTGTAGACACAAATTAGGTTTATATTAGCGAATTTTTTAAAATTTGCTTAAAAAAAATAGAGTTAATTTTTCTCAAATATTATCTTTGTAATCTTAACTTTGAAATAAAATATACAAAGAAAATTATTTCATAAAATGCAAGTTTTTCTATTGAATACGAGTACAACTTGAAATATTTTACTTTGCGATTTAAATTTACAAAATTAACTTTTCAAGTTTTCTGGAATTATTTTTTATTTAATTGCAATAGTATTATAATAAATTTAGTATGAATTGAATATTTTACATAATTTCGATAAAATATAAAATTAAAAATTTATGACTTATGCACATAAGTGAGTAAAAGAATTAAATAAATGATATAATCCATATAGTTTTGGAAAAAATTCAAATAAGACTTAAACATATTGAAATGACAGGTAATGTCATAATGTATTTTAAGTACATAATTATGACATTATTTTATAGACGTTGTTTGGTCAATGCAATAATAATAGAGATTTTATTGCCTGCAATGTATATATATTTTTTCTTGCACACCTCTAAATTTGAATAAAAACTATTTACAGACACTTGATTTGCTAAATACTGCATATTAGACTACATCTATAAATCTCGCTTAAAAATTACTTTTTACTACCATATTAAAATTCTAAATAAAATTTAATAATAAAGAAATATGACAGCAATTGTAGAAATATTTTATTAAATTATTTACTAGATTCTATTAAACTGGTAAAACATTCTATTTACAGTTATGATGTTAGTTGCCTCAAAATAGTAAAAAAAATACCTGCATAACAACATACTCAAAAACTACATCCATTGCAAAGTTTTATGTCAAGGGAAATAAACAAACTTTTGCCATTGCAGGCTTGCAATTTTACCTCAATTATGAAGTCAACTTAACTTTAAAATTAAAGTTTTAAATAAAAATGACAAAATAAAATAATGTTTGATAAAAATAGTAATTCGTAAGTGAAATTTATGTAAGTATATCTATATTTAAAGAAATTTAACGTAGTAAAAGCAAAGAATAAATTTAAAAAGCAATAATTAGAAATAAGTAAATATAAAAAGCAAAGTATGTATATAATCACATACTATATATGCAATTTTTCCAAATACTCGTAACAAGGTATTTAAGAAAAAAAATGAATTATTAAGAGGGTTTCGCAGAAATGACATGGCAAAATTATTATACACGTTTTCAATGAGTATATAAAACCTTAAGACCTTAATTTATTGCATTACCTCAAAATTTCATTAAATTCCATACATTGTAGTTTAAAAATTTTGGATTGGATCTTACTTATTTATGGACTGCCTTAACTTCAACAAAGTTTTACATTACTTTTGTTAATTGGAAAAATCAAGTTTCTCGTTTAAATCATTAGTTTTTATAAATAGAAAATTTTAATTAAATTTTCAGCTAATAAATTATAATTTATAGTTAAAATTAAATTAAAAATTATAAATGGCAATTTACCTTCATATTCATTATTTCTATTATATTTTCAATTCCAATAAGAGCTCCAGTAATTTGATAGAATTCTGATTATAAAAGTAAAAAAAAAAAATTATTTTCCAAATCACAATTGTTCTTTTATAAAAAATTTTTCTTCTTTCTTTCTTTCTTTCTTTTTATAAAATATATATCTACATTAATAAATTAATATTCATAAAATGTCAAAGAGAAAAAAAAATGAAATTCAAAATAAAAATATCGTTCTCTAAAATGATATTAAATTTTAAATTTTCGTACATACATACAAACATATGCAGATAATGTAAAAATTTTAATACTTAAATATCCAAATAATTTAAATAAGCATAAGTAATGAATTTTAATGTTATATGTTACATACATATTTTACATATGTAACCATATATGCATGTGTGTATGTAGATAGGTTTCTATACAAAATTATTCCATATAAAATTAAATCCAATAGATTTCTTAAGTTTATTTAAAATATTGTATGCTATGATTCTTTTCAATTGAATAGTTCACAACATAATCATTATGAATATAAAAAAGATAATATTAAAAATAGTATATGTATATGTATAATACAATTTTTGTGTGTATGTATGTACTTTTAGATCACCAATAAAAATGTTAAAGAATTCTTATAATTCTATTAATTTTTTTTTCCCTTCTTCTTATGATATTTTCTCAATCTTTTTTTTTTCACAAAGAAAAAGAATAAAATAAAAAAAAAACAAATTTAATTACAATTTCTAATCACGAATTTCACCCACTCGACACTTGCATTAAATTTTAATTTTTTTTATATAATTCTTTGTATCTTATACATACACAATTATATGTACATAAATAAGTATTTACTTTATGTATGTGTATGTATGTATACTTATTTTTATTACTGTTTAAGTTTTGTTTTTTTATTTTATTTTTACTATTTTTTTATTCTTATATTATATTTTTAAATGAAAAGCCGTTAAGGAACCACCGCACTCTTTCCTTATATAAGTATGCTTGCATATATTTTGATTAAAAAATTTATTGTAATTCGAAAAAAACAATCAAATTTAAAAATTTAATTTTCACTTAGTAAAATTCATAAATATACAAATGAGAAGACTTGTGGTAACTCTATCTTATGAAATTTTTTTTATTTAAAAACAGAAATAATGAAAAATCAAAAACTTAAAAATAGCCTTTTGTATTACAATAATAAAATTTACTTGTTGCTGCAGCAACAATTCAAAATTGATTGAACATACTTCATGGGTTCAAACCGTTTATATAGTTGAGAAAAAAGTTTTTTTTTTATTCTATTTTGATTTATTTTTTGTTTTGTATTTTTTTTTTATTTTTTTTTTGCGAGAATGATAATAATAATAACAATTAATAAGAAGTATAGAAAATTTTTAAAGAAAAAAAAAATAAAAGAGCTAAATTGCATTATTATACTGGGAGTATAACAATGTTTATTAAGTTTTATACAATAAAAAAGTTATTGGCAAAAGTTTGGTTAAAATTTTCGGCAGTATTATATTTGAAAAATTGAAAAGAAATATGTCGATTTGATAAATTGGAACTGTTATTAAAAGAATTTCATCGACAGCTAAGCTTCCAATGTTACTCTATTAATGTACTTAAGTTGGATTCATTATGGTTCGACGCTTTTAAGTTGAGTGAATTTTTCTTTTTTATACCTTATTTGTCACTTTTTTGACAAGAATTGTATTTGTTATGTAAAAATAATGTCAGCTCTTCGTTAAATTTTGATATTTTGATTAGATAAACATTAAATTTTTTCAATCAAGAATCAATCAATTAAGTACAAAAGTAATTTTGATAATAATTAATGTACATTGAACTCTGAAGCAATTTGAAATAATTATTTAATATATAATTTATTTGTGTAAGAAAAGGAAACAGAAATAGGTAATGCCTATATAAATAACATTTTTGTTTTTTTTTTACAGAAAAATAGTAATAATTATTATTATTGTTTTTAAAAGTTAGAATTGGTCATAATATTTAAACTTTGTTCTTATATACATACATATGTACATGTTTCTTCTGTAGTAATTCTATAAAGTACATACTAATTTTTGGTATAAAATTAGAACAGTAATAAGTTTAGATTAAGTTTTCGAAAATTATAAATTTTCATTGGTACGTAATTTAAACTTATTTAGACCTATGTACGGTCTTAAAATATCCTTATAAAGGCATACAGTATAACTATAAGTGGAATTAAAGTTCTAAAATAATGTTTTATATTAAAATGAGATTTATGAGAGCATTTGCCATTTCGTTTTTAATCTATTGTACTTTGAAATTCGAATAAAATTAAGAGTTACCATTTTAAAAAAAAATTAGAGCAAATATTAATTTAATTAAAATATACATATATGTACTTAATGTATAATTGGAAATTAATATTCTTATAATAGTATAGGTAAATTGTAACGATAAAAATACTAAATTTTATGGTATATGTATGTATTAAAAATTTATGCATAAAAACCTTTTTTTTGTAACTGATAATTTCTAAAACTTGTGGACACTAAATAATATCAAAGCTAAAACCGGCTACTGTTTTAATTATAGTTGTAACAGACTATATTATTATGAGGTTTTATCAACAGTATTATAATTTTTTACTTTTACTTTTTCAGCTTCTAGTTTGTAGACATGAACATAATTTAGTTGTTTATAAATGCAGTAATTCCTATATGTACATACCTATAAATGTTGCAATATGTGTTATTATTGCTTTAAGAATAAATCTATAATGCATAAGTTCTGAAAGAATCAAGTTTATATGTGAATGTGTGTTCGAACAAGAAAAAATATGTGTTGAAATAATTTCAAATTAATTCAATTTTTAATAATAACTATTTGTGATTAAATTCAATTATATATAGAAACCTAGAAGAATTATATTGTGTTGTTGGGTGTTCTTAATTAAATTCAAATTTTCTATTATACGCATTTAATATTATGGTATTTTTAATTGCCTTAAATTAGCGTATGGACCCAATAATATTTACGTTACTTCGGTAATATACTTGATTTAATAGAATTATTTATGTTGAACAATTTTGTATATGCATATACACACTATCAAACTATAAACTTTTATTGGTATTCAATTATCTTATATGTTTATATACATATATGTATATATTATAACTACAAAGAAAGTGAGCGCTGGCGAGCAATTAATCTGACATTTGTGATCAGCCAGTTGGTTGCCCATGTTTTAGCATTTAATTTCTCTAAATTATTGTATTTAAGGATACGTGAAATATTTTGTTTATATCTATTATCACACATCGATTACAGAATAATTGGTTAAATTCTGGGCGAAATATTAGGATTAAAATTAACCTTTCTACTATTTAACCATTACAGTAAATTATAAAATGAAATTAGTGCAAAACAATTATTTTGAATGACCTGTAATCAAAAATTCATTATAAATAAAAATTATTTAAAATAATATATTAATAATTATTAGCATACTTTTTTATACATGTTATTATTATTTATATTGGTGCTGGCATTGAAAATAATGTACTGGATTTTAGCTAGCATTAGTATGAATAATAATATAATTTACTGGATTTGATATATGGAAAATAAGCATCAAATGTATTAATTACGGCAGATTTCCATTTCAGTGTACTTATAATGTAGCTGTTAATGATCCCATACAAAAATGATTTTCACAATCAACTATGATTTATAAAAGTAAATTCGACTTAATCATGAAGAGAAATTTCAAATAAAAGTAATTTATTTAAAACTCAAAAACATTTTAAAACGTAGTGAAATATTTGACTTCATAATCAAACTATATTGATAAATTTTGTTTTCGGTTTCAATTTAAATTTTTCCATTTCTATACTGTATTTTTTTTAAATTAAAAACAAAACAAAAAAGAAAATATTTTCACCAGTTCAAATTATTAAAATTAAAAAGATAATCAAAATCATTGATAACACTTACTTTCAATTTTTTAGAATAATTCGTTTAAATTTGTACAGAAACATATGAATGTATGTATATAAAAAAATTTAAATTTCCATTCACCTATATACTTATATAATGGGTGTTTTTTTGCTGTTCATTTTTTCATTTTTCTGTTTTTACGTATCTCTATTCGTTACAATTGCGGATGTCAAAGTGATCCAGTTTCTTTTGTCGTCTGGGAAACGGTACTGGAATATAAAAAATTACGAAATATTAATTAAATAGGCCGCCGAGACTATGCAATTTGGCACTTTTCATCTTTTGCATCTTTTGCATTTACTGACAATCTACTATGATATAATAAAATATCGATAACAGCAAATCGATATTGAATTTATACTTGAAAAATAAATGGCTATTAATTTAAATTTATTGATTTAAACGAACAAATTACCTGCAAAATTAATAACTTCTCTTGGTTTTCTTTAAATTGAAATATTTTAAGAGCTTAAAAATCACCCATTTATAAAATAAAAAACAAAAAGTAATTTGTTTTTATTTACCTTCTAAATTTTAAATAATTCACCTAAATATCAGAAGTAAAACAATCACACAATATTTATTATCGAAACGAAGTATATGTATAGACTTGTATGTACTGCAATATGTGGTGTATGGAATGAATGTGAATGTGCATAGGTATGCATATTATTAAGATTATTGTTAAAGTGTACCGAATTTTTAACACCTTATAAAAAATTTCAAACGTTGTTAATTTCATTCTTACTTGCTTACTTTTTCCACGAAAAGCTCATCAACCAACATTCAATTGAAGAAATTTCTTTCTCCAGGTGAAAGAAAACAAATAAAAAAAAATTTTAACCAACATTAATGAAAACAAAAAAAAAATAAAAAAAATATGATAAATAAATAAAAAAGAAAAGAGAAAGAAGAAACAAAAAACAAATCTTTAAAGGTAATAAAAGCAATCATTGTCAAGGTTTTGGAGGTCATAAATCGAGTTTTTCTCTTAGGTTTTTCTTTTTTAAGTTCAACTTTTGGTATGAAATTTATGAGGATTTACAAAATAAAAATACTTATGTTTTATTTAATTTTTTTTTTGCTGTTGCTCCATTTTTGCTCCAATATGAAGTAGATGTACTTAAATATCAGATTTAGAGGAGGGCCTGGTTAAGGTTCGAATTATTTATTAACATATGTTAGATTTGAATATATACATTAATGTGTATATAGAACAAATAATATACATACCTACAATATTTTAATATATTTATGTATGTATTTTGAACCACATGGTTAGTGGTTTTTGATGGTTTGTTCTTACTTTTAATTGAAATCATTTTTCAAACAACACAAAATCTATATAATGTATATGTAGAAAATAGAATGTTCCTATATAAATAAACGTTGGAAATGGAAAATGGAAAAATACATTAATAAATCCATTCAATCATTGAAAGAGAAATCATATTAGGAGGTTTCTATTTATTCATTTGACATAGGTTAGGTTTTCTTTCAATATTGCAATAGGAATGCAAAGAGAAAAATAGTATATACGACTCAATAATTGTTTTGAAATTCATATACATATATTCTTAATATGAAAATTATTTTCAAATATTTATGATTAATATTGTAGTCATGTATGAGTATAACATGATTCAACATGATTCGTAATTATGTAGGTCACACTAGTAAATTGTATTGTCCGTTGTCCTGTCTTATTTAAATATCCTTCTTCACATTTTAAATATTTACGGTACAGAATTTGTAAATATAATTACCCCTTATTTTTGCTTATGATTTTAATGATGATTTTTATTGAAAATGAGATAAAAGATGTCAGTTGTCAATGTTATTCTTAGCAAATTAAAGTTTGAAGGTAATACTTGTAAACTCACTTTAATATCTGTCATTATTAAGTGTATAGCGGCAACATTCAATTTTAAACGAAAGTATGTTAGTAGGAATTTATTTGATCATTATATTTGCAAAAATGAGGCTACTTAATAAGATCATAATAATGAAATTCGTAAACAAAAATAATTTTTGAAGAAAGAAAATTAAATATAAAAATGCCGATAAACTATTTAGTTTTTTAATTTTTTTAATATTACATACATTTTAAATTATATATATTTAAAGAATTACCTTTAATACTTAAGGTGCCAACCAATTGGGTATCGAAAATTTACAATTAACCTTTAGGTTGTGTTTTTCTTCCTATTTTTTTTCCTTTCATTT